GGTTTTTAAAGAACAGAAAAGGAGTGTGTGTGTGTGTGTGTGTGTGTGTGTGTGTGTGTGTGTGTGTGTGTGTGTGTGTTTTGCATGTGTGCTGCTGGGCAATCAAGCAAGTGAAAGGTGTAGTTTCAAATCACCCGGGTGAGAAATTCTCAAAGGACAAAAATGCTTGGAATACCAAAGCTACTTCACTGGCCTAAACCGAAGACCTTACTTACTGAACTCTACATTTTCAGTTCCCAGCATAGTGCCCAAAGATAGTAGATTTTGTGTAAATGAGTTTTTATTATCTGAATCTATAAGTAGCCCAATCACATTATATACTGACAGTTCTCTATTTCATTTTCACTGTATTTTTAGATTATAAACCATATTGCTATACTATAAGTTAAAAACTGTATTCTAAAAACTGGGTCACTCCTCTGATTTTCACTAAACAGGAAGAACTAGTTGCTTAAGGAAACTAGTTGCCTAAGAGCTAGTTCAGGGGGAAAAAAAAAAGTGACCAAAATTTTATTTTAAGAAAGTCAGAATAAACCCAAACAGAATTTAATTCTTTATATTTCAATATTTTACTTTCACCATACCATTGTACATGGGTAATTGTTTCAACTATATTTCAAGGGTTTATTATTCAAGGGTTTCTATTAATTCTTTATATTCAAATCATCCTATATTGAAACATCTATCACATCATCAATCTTGTTGATTTTCTCTCTTTCAACTGATACTGTCCTATTTCTAGCAGATCCCCTTTGGCAATGATTATGTATGTGATTCAGCAGTGCTCTGGTTCATTTCCTTTGATGCATCACATTAAAATATTTCATCTTTTGCAAGATTGCAGATTTATTATTAGCTTGTATATTTGTACTGTATGTTTGGACATTCATCTTAAGAAAAGAACAAAATTGTTGAGAAGATATATAGAGGACATTGTAATCTTAAGCAGGAAGACTTGTTAATGCAGAGAAAACAGAAAATTTGAAGAGAAATAGACTATAAATTAACAAAATATTTCCATATGTGTAATAAGCAATGTCCTATATTTATATTATACCTATATATCCTATATTTATATTTATACTTCACCATGTCAAAAAATAGAAAATACAGCAGGAAAACAAAAAGGAGAAAAAATAAAAAAAGGAGAGAATGAAGTAAACTTGAGAACACTCCTTCAAATAGACTTGGGTTTAAAATCTTATTTCCTACATATACAGCTGTGTTACCATGGGAAAGAAAGTTCTATTTTCTTGGTAAAAGACTGTTTTTTAAATGTGACATACAGAAGAGAATAATATATAACTCATAGATTTGTTGTTAAAAATAAGTGAGAGCGTTTATGTAAAGCAGTTAGCACAAATCCTAACAAATGATAAACACTATATGACAGCTGGTCTTTATGAATAGAATTGGTTACAATTTCAATGGAAAGAAAAAAAAGGAAAGTTTTGCTTGGTTTAGGTATATTTTTCCAAAAATTACTATCAGGGCTTAGATTTGGAAATTTAATTCAGGGACTTTAAATTTTTTCATAATTAATTTGATTCATTTCAAATTCATATTTAAGTTTTGCATACAGACACCAGATAAAAACACTACAAAAGTCAATTCTATTATCTCAAAATTTATTTAAAAATATTTTTATTTGAATTTAACCTTTCTCGTATGTACAGAAAATAATTAAATTGAGAGGTAATTTCCTCCATTTAAGTGATAGAAATAACTATTTACTGGCAATCTCTGCCAATAGCCAGTAAGTCAACAAAAAGATTTGGTGTCTTAAATTCCTTATCTATACATGTAAGTCTATAACACAATCACTTGCAGCTCCACATTACACAATTCTATCAAACATACATTTAAATTAATGTCCACTGCAAATTATTGAGAAGGAATCTGAAACATTAGTTCTAATTCACTTTGATCACAATATATATAAGCATTATCAATATGTTAGATTCTTTAATTACAGACGCTTAATCTGCTTTAATTGCCACCAAAACCGCTTTCTGTGCTCTCTTTTGGGGGATATTTTTGAGCTCCTAGGGTGTTAGCACTTTTTTACTTATGACGTCAACTGTTATAAATCCTCAGTTTTTATAAGGTTTAATAGCAATTCATAATTTAAAAGCTAATGCTTGAAATACCTTACTCAACATAATTTCTCCTTGAAGAACTGACATTAAAAAAGAGACTTTCTTTATATTTTTGATGTTATTTGTAACAAAAATTTTGAGTTAAATGATTTTTAACTTAACTTAAAATTGTTAAGGAAAATGAAGATGATTCAATTAAAAATGTAATTTTCAATCTCAAGGATTGGGATATGTGTATTTCAGTCTTATTAATAATTATATATTGGAAAAATATTATCTACTAGAAATTATGTGCTATGTTATCTATAAAATGGCAAGCCCTCTTTGCAAGTACTTTAAGATGGAATGGATGATATCTCATGTATACTAAAAGCTGAAATAAAATTCATATGATACATTTGAGTCAGTCAACAACTATCTACTGAGTCACTCTTATGTGTTAGGTACTGTGATGTATTCTAGAAAGTCAATGAGATAAACAAATCCGGTTATCACTGCCCTGTGAAGTCTACAGTTTAGAAGCAGTACAGGTAATTTTTATAAAAGAGTTATATAGTATAGAGTGATCACTTTTAGCTAAAAGGTATATGAGAAGGTCCTGTCCTGAAAAGTCTTGCCAAATGTGTATCATTTGAGCTGATATTTAAAAAGTACCAAGTAAGAGTTTTAAGGCTCTGATGGGGTGGTGTAGTAGGGAAACAGTTAAGCCTATTTGTTAATTGTTAGATTGTTCAGTCTTATAAAATTGAAACATTTTCGAAGTAAGAGGACTTCTTTCCTTCAAGATGGAGAAACAGGGAAGAATTTATTCTCCATTTGAAACAACCAGGAAAAAGAAAGGACATAATATTAAATCAAAACAAAAAGAACAATAAAAAAATTTAAAAAACAAGTTTCAAAAGGCAGCAAAGCAGAGTGATCCTTGCGTGACAGGAAACAAAGGAGATCAGTCCTATGACTGCCCCCATCTTTCTGCTTGAAGAGTCTCCAAGCTGAAGCACAGGGAGGAGGACCCCATGCAAAGCCCAGCCAACACCTGAGTTGAAAAGCTGGATCTGAGAGTCAGGCGAGAACATGGTGGACAGAGTTTGAGAAACAGGGTACCAGAGAGGACATGTACAGAAAGATCTCTGGAGATCTAGGGAGAGAACTCCCTGAGTATTCAGCAGAATACTGGTCAGCCTATGAGGAAACTGCCTAAGGTGAAGAAAAGAATTACCAAAAGATTAGATGGAATAGCATTTGGTGCTGACACAGGGCCAGAAACAGTACTAATTACTGACTCCATTCAACAACTGGAAAATTTTTGCTGTTGTAGATTTGGCGAATATGTTCTATTCAGTGGTTCTTTCAACAGTCCCTTAGCCATCCAACATTTGCCTTCATCTTTGACGAGATATGATACACATGGGCTATCTCAATAACCCTGTCATGACACACAATTTTGCACGCAAGACATCAACTAAAACCAATTTTCTCCAGAGTCACAGATATGACATGACATTACTCTGATGGCATCTTCCTCGGAGTAGATTCATTTGAGCCCCTCGTTCAGGAAATACAAATACTAACAAAGGATTTAAAGAGAAAAACAAAAAAAGAGGGGGATGGATCAATGACCCACACCTAGCACAGGTCTGTCTTCCCAGTTAAATTTTGGTGAATTAGGTCAGCCAGGCCTGCTCCACCACAGGCACTGCCAACAGCACCAACTGGCCTCCTTAGTACCACATGTTAAAATAAACCCAACCCCTTTGTGACAAATTTTACTTAAGCCCATTTCTGTTGCTATTCACAAACTGACCTTCTTTTATTGAGGCCCCATAGAGAAAAAGTATCTTAACCTGCCCAAATTGCAATACATAAGGCACTCCCATTATTTTCCCCAGAGTCTGTTTTACTCTAGAGGCTCAGCTACTTCTCATAGCTCCTTGTATCTCTGAACCCGTCCTGAATAGCTCTTGTTTTTAAAAACGTCATGATTTACATGATGCCACTGAAGTTCTTTATAATAAATATATGCAACCATGATTTTCCAATGGATGCATTATTGTTGATTAAATAAATTCTATTTTATTCCATATATAGGCATTAATTTATATGTAGGGATTTTAAATAAAGTTTTAAAATTTTCTTGAAGTGGTTTATTTCATTATATACAGATTCTCAAACTTATAAACTTATCAAGAGGGCAAATCAGTTGTTAGGACTTTCTATGGTAGTGAAAGTACCCATTAATAATCAGCATGCTTCTTTAAAAACCAAGTCAGGTATTTATATGTGTTAGACTAGCAAAAGGAAATTGTATTCTTTGTATTATCAATCTTGATTACAGCAGATAATTCATCTCTCTTCTTAAAATACATGACATTTAATAGCACTTCTTTTCTTTGATGTCTTTTTTCCTCTGCCAATGTAACAACATGGTAAGTAAGCCTACTGATTCTTAAAGTCACTAGTACAGGGGCAGCCAGGTGGCTCAGTAGGTTAGAGAGCGTACTCTTAACAGAAAGGTTGCCGGTTTGATTCCCGCATGGGATGGTAAACTGTGCCACCAACCCCCTCCCCCGCCCCCCACCCCCTGCCCCATAACTAGATTGAAAACAGCAACTGGACTTGGAGCTAAGCAGTGCCCTCCACAACTAGATTAAAGGACAACGACTTGACTTGGAGCTGACGGGTCCTGGAAAAAACACACTGTTACCCAATAAAAATTTTAAAAAATAAAGAAAGAAAGTCACTAGTATAAACTCTAACCATAGTACTACTATCATCTTTTAATCTGAAAGACAATACAAATATTCAAAACCTTGCATGGTTTGATGAGTTACAAAACACACACAACACATCCCACATTTTCATATAACCAGTGATGTGTAAAAGTATTGAGAAGAAGCTTACTTGTACAGTTAGGCAAAGTTCCAGACCACGTTCCATTGGCTGTGCACTGTCTAACTGAAGGTCCAGAAAGAATATATCCTTCCATGCAGGAATAAATGATTGAACTAGAAAATGTTAAGCCATCAATCCGGAAGACTTTGCCATTGGCTGTTGTTCCTGGGTTACCACACTGTACAGCTATAAAACAAAATAGTTAAGGGTATATGTAAAAATAGTGTAATTAGAAATCCTCTCATAAATAGTTAATGACTGAATGTTTGTTTCAAATTTTCCAAAGGAGCTATAAAATCCTCTAAAATAAGCATTGAATTATCTTGTATAAGGGGTTGAAATTCAAGATGAATTTATATTGATTTTATTAGTTTAATTACTGGGATGCAAAGTAATTACTCAAAAGTATTGCCTTGGGGGACCACAAAAATCTTTCAAGGAAGGATTATGAGTCTCTGCCTAAAAAGCCATTAATGCAAAATGGGAAGATGTGTAACAATGAGATGCAATAGAGATTTATTATAGTTACACTTCCAAAAGGGCTGATATAAAATAAATAATTTAAATATTTAAGGCACTCATGTATATTTTAATAATCTAAGTATATAGCTGATTTGCATAAAAACTTTATAATCTCTGTCTCTGGACCGATGCATACAAAAAACAAACTGAGTAAAAACAAAGTGACCAAGTTCTAGAAATTATTTTCATTAAATTCTCAACATATCATAAAAAAGAGTCACAAACACAGTGCCTTATATGATTAAATACTCTGTAATATGTTTATTTGCTATCGGTGCCACAGTAAATTTTTGAAATATCTTAAAAACAAGGCTATGTCAAATGTAATACTAAATTTGTTGAAATATAAGGAGGCATTGTAGTACTTTATGAAATTTAAAGCTATCTTTATGAATGTGAAGTGTAACTATCGTTTCAGAAAATGCCATCTATAATCACTTACTATCTCTTAAATATGTAATTTTGCCTATCCTTCACAGTGGTGCCATCTGTTTGTATGTGTACATAGAGAGGAAACTTCCACATTTTATAAAATTACAACAAGCTACTCTAGGTAATATTTTCAGGAGAACCTATGATACAGAAAACATTTTTACTTCTGTTATCAAAATTACACTTTTCTATATATACACTAGTACCTGCCTAAAATAATAATCTGGTCATATGTGTCATGTGATCATGTGTCTTGACACATCCCAAGAAAGATTTGAAAAGTATCATCCTTGTTTTAAAATGTGATGTGACTTGCATTTTGAAATAGGGATCCAGGCTCAGTCAATTTTTCTTGACAATAAAAATTAAGGATTTCTCTACTTAGGGTGGTTTCCAAATATGGACAAATCACACTGTTACTCCTGTCCTCTCGTTCCTAAATCCTCCACACTGCATACACACATTTTTCTTACCTAGAACATTATTTGAATTAAACACAAGTAAAAAATGACTTAAAATGAAAAGAGGTAAGTGCATCATCTATCATGAGTAAGGGCTGAAAGCTCTGTGGACACAGTGAACAGATGCAGCAACTACTTTGTCTCTGTCATATTGACATTTGGGGGGAGAGGGGTTTATTGTTGCCTGTGAACATAGCCCCAGTTATGTTTCGTACTAGCTGCCAAAGCTACCGCTCCTACAAAGAGTCATTTCTCAGCTATCAATTCACCTAACCTCACAGAAATGATAGTTAACATTCATTCAGAAATGATGTGACAGCCACAACTTTTCCAGTATTTTTTAACCTCGTAACCAGTACTATGAGTTAATATTAATATCACCATTGTTTCTTGGTTGGAAACTGAGGCACAGAGAGATGAAATAACTTGCCCAATGTCCCACAACTAGGTAAGAGTAGATTTTCATCTAGTACAAGTTTTTCAGGAAGATTCTGATAGCATATAATGAGAGTATTGGATCTTATCTGGGTTATCAAACGAATGGCTTAAATGTAATCTATTTTTGTCAACTGACCATTTTTTTGTGTTAGATAAGTTATACAAAGAGTATTTTATGTGTTTGCCTTTTCTTTTGTTGCTAGAGATAATTTGTATTTTATAATTACTGTATCATTTTTTTCTTTTTATCAAGGTGATAAGTAGTCATGTCTAAAGAGTCAAAAATAAATGAAAGTATAATGAAGAAATTGAAGATCACTTATAAATCCATCACTAAGAGGTAAGGTGATAAAACATTTATATAAATACTTATATGAAAATGTATAAATAAATGTGAATATGTATCCATTTTGATGTTTATGTCAGGCACTGTGCAAAGCACAGAGTATACAGTAGTGTAACATTACCATTTTTAAACCTAGAACTATGCTATGCATGCTGTTTCATAATCTTATATATATTTTTTTACTTAACATAACAATTGGAGCATCTTTCTTTCATAAAGTTTAGTAACTGGATAGTTTTCCATTGCATGTATATTCATCATTTACCTAACCAATCTCCTGTAGATAAACATGAAATTTGGTTTAGTTGAGTTTTGTTGATAATTTTGAATTATACTCTATATATACAACTGTGTATACTACATTTCTGAGAGTGAAAGTTTTGAGTAATTTTAATTTTTAAAAAATATTTTTAATTTAAAAAAATATATATAGTTACTGAAGATATGATAATATGCACTTTGATCAACAGTGTAAAAGTTTGCTTGTTTTCACACATCCTGTTAAACATTATGTGCCATCAACTGTTAAAAACCTGTCAGTTTGTCAAAAAAATTATTGGGTTGTCAGAAAAGTCATGACGTATTTTTTCAATGTTTTTTGTTGCAAAAAAGTCATGACTTTTCCGACAACCCAATATATTCTTTAAATTTGCATGTTTTTATATATTAAATTAAGGTATTATTAACACATTAATTGAATATTTTTATTTTCATATGTTTTATCCATCACATTCTAGGAAAGCTTTTACATTTAATGGTAAATACTAAAGTAATATAACATTACAGAATATTTAGAAAAGGATAAACATACTTCAGATTTCACCACTCTTTCTGTTATCATTTTTTGTGTACTGCCTTTTATGCTTTCTTTCAAGTGAATATCATTTCCCATTGCTGTAATAGAGTGCATAATTCTGAGTCTTATTTTTTAACCGAGTTTTATATGATTTATGGATTTATATTTTCTCATATTGCCCCATGGCCCGTATTCTAATATTTTATTGACTATACACTATTACATCATACAAATATACAATTGATTATGTAATATTATCCCTAGTGTTGTTCAATTACTTCCTGTTGTTGCTTGTTATAATCAATTAGAAATAAAAATTGCCTCTTTACTATTATGTATTTCCTTTAATACTTTTATTTATTTATTTTAAGAAAGAAATCCTCAAAAGTAGAGTTAAGTCAAAGCTATATATATATTCTGTGAATATATATGAATTTTAGTCAAATCACTCTAAACCTATTATCACAATAAACATACCTCTAGAAATGCATTAAAGTTTTAGTTTTACTGCACATACACCAGAATTTCATATTAAGACAAGTAGAAAGTGATATTTATTATAATTTTCTGATACATAGTTGTATAGACTATTTTTCTATAGGTTGCAACTTTTTTGCTCTCCTGCATTTTCTGATCATTTTCTGTATCCATTCATCTACTGGAATCTGTTTTTCTAAATGATTTGTATAAACTCCATTTATGAGAAAATTATTAATTCTGTAATATTTTCTACAACTCCAAGTTTTTTTTAATCCAAAAAGTACATACTAACAAAACAAAGTCAGCACGAGGTTGTATTTCATGTAAAAATATTTTGCAATTCAGCTGCACAAAGGGCTGGCTAAGATATCACCCCGGTAATGTATGACATCATTACACAGACTTTGCCTTTGGAAAGTAAACAAGTATGAGAAATAAACTGAACAATTAAGTCTTACTCAATTTCTTTTGCTCAGTAACTTTGTTCAACTCCTTTCACCATAATAGCAACTGAGTTGCAACTGTCTCTTAATTGAGATTATTAAATTTGGTCCCATTTTAAAAAGATAGCTATCTTTCCTAGAATATGGATACTAATTTTAAACACAATAAAAGCTTCCGAAATATAATCAATCCAAAAACTATCAAGAGGTTCAATTGGGAATTATCCCCTATTTATAAAACCAATACATTAGCTATAACATCAAGTAAGTTTTATAAATACTTTTGCAAGTTTAGTTTTTGCACTAAAATCATCTCAAAAAGAATAATTTAAATTATAAGCATAATTTTCTAGCAACATTTCATTCTTCTTGCCAATCTTATAAGATTTAGCTAACTGAGTCAGTCAGAACAAGTAATAATTTTACTCAAATATACAAAATTTTAAGAATTCTAGTTACAAGCAATACACTCTATAAATGAAAATCTTTTTTGTATTTAGGCATCTTTCTATATCTTTCCATTTCTACAAGTCTAAAACCTAAAACAGATCTTGAGGTAATGTTGATGTAAGAACAACCTTTTTTTTTTTTTTTTTTTCCTGATAGTGTCTACAACATAAAAGTACTGGGATAAAAAGGAAAAAATAAAACTTTTTACCAAATAGTTTTAACTTTTCCAATTCTGATGTTTGCTGAGATGTGAAAAATCTTTGTATATAAATGACCTGTGAGATATACACATTATATATAATACATGTTAATATTTATATATTACATATATTTATATAGTATATATATGTATTATAATTATTACATAGCATAGTTCTCTTACAGGATTCTGTCAATAAAACTGGAACACTACTTATTTTATTCCACTGTTGGGGACAACAAAAATGACTGACAGGAGTAATTTCACTCATATAACCAAATGAATTTGAATACACATTAAGTTCCTGCACTTTCAATATATTTAGTTTCTTCTTGAGATTACCTTTGCATTCTGGCTGCCTTCCAGTCCAACTGCCATTAGCTAAACATGTTCTTTCTTCTGAGCCATGAAGAACATAACCAGTATCACAAGCAAAACGTACGGAACTTTGAGTTCTGAAATCGCTTTCCTGTCTAGAACCGTGACCGGGGGTACCTGGATCCCCACAGGTACCAGTAGCGTCACCTGCAATTCAGTACAGTTCAAGTTATTAATTTCAATAAACATTTACTATGGTCATGATTTAGTCCAACATTCTTGTAGGCATTGACTTTTATGCATACTGCTTTTAACATGATGCGTTGATTGGGTAAAATCATAATTCCTATTTCACATCTAACTCCAGTCATAAGAAAACGCCAACATGAAAAAGAAAATAGTTGCAGCGTATGGTCATTTGTTCCTTATCAGTGATATCTAGTCTTCTTATATAGGTTAAGGACATTTTATTAGTATTTCCAGAACCTGGTTAATGATCAAGTTAATGGAAAATTTGTAACTGATAGTGCTATGGGCTCAAATGACAATGGTTTAACAAAGCTCAAATTTAAAAAACTGGATTTGGTAATTTACATGTTTGCTTCTCTGAATTTTCAAATGACTGAAACTCTTGTTTTTATTGTTAAACTAGAACTGTAATGTCCTAGAAATTGTAGATGTTATAATATAGTATTCCCTGTACCTTAAAGTTCACCCCCCAATTTTCTCTACCAATGACAATTAACCAAGATAAATGAACTGCTTACTTCTCATACATGTAATATAAAAATAAATTGTAAACAAGATTAGATACTCTGACTTGAATTCTAATAAGGATTTTGTTCATGACTGTGTTCATCTTTTGATTTTAGTGTTTAGAATTTATACAGTCCTTTTATCATTTCTTAAATAATTCTACTCCAAGTTGCCAGCATATTAGGATATGTTGAGAGACAGAGAAAGTTGAACACATAAGCACTGAGAATGCTCTCTGTCTAGATGCCTTTTTTAACATGCCCTGTGTATTTAGAATCCTTCTTTACACTTTCTCATTTTCATATGATGTAATATTAACAACCACACAAAACTTAAAAATAAGCATTTCACTTTTAAATATCTATGTACATCTTTTTCTCACAATTCAGTAGCAGTTTCCTAATATAGTGTGGTTTATATGAGTTGATGTTTTTATATATAATCAGTTATCTGAGTGAGTTAATTAACTATGAGTTACTCCAACATAAAGATTTTAATTCTCACTAAAATCAGTTTTACAGTCACATTAAAAATGATTGTTTTTTAAATCTATAGAATAAATATGAAGTCCCAGGAAGTTACTTCATAGGGATTAACCACCAGTTACAAGAGATTCTGAAATAAGTAATCATTTCACAACTTTTGCTTCTAAAGGAAAAACAATGTAAAACAATTACTAATAAATGTTCACCATGATCTCCACAGAAGCAAAATAATACAAAAATAATAAACAATGTATAAATTTTAAAAAACATGCAGAAAAATAGGCAGCAATATCTGCTAAAACCAAATACAATAGGTAGTATTTAGGGAGACATCACAGATCTAAAACTTAAATGACATTTTTGAAGAAAAGCAATAGTTTAAACACAGAAAATATTTATCAAGTATTCTGTGAAAGTTACTAATTTTAAAAAGCCTTAATATTCACTTTTTCTAAGATATTGATAACATCGAGAGCACCATGGGAATTATAGAGACTAAAGTTATATGTTGCCTTTTTAATAACAAAGAAAGGAAAAATAAAAATCTTCCATGAAACTTGTTTTAGTTTAACTTAAGACATTTAAGGCTTTATTTAAAATTATGCTATAAGTAATCAATTGTTTAATAGAACTGAATTCTATCAGGAAATTGTTGATATAACATTGCCTTCTGGAGAAAATTATATTCGGTATCGGCTAAAATAAATTAGCTACTTAAACTTGAGTGGTTCACTATTTTAATGAACAAAAGCACTTTACTCAGAGTAGCATCCTAATGGCACTTAATTCTTTACCTCAGCCAAAGCAAAATTCAAAAAATATATCTGCAATTTACCATCTACAAGATAAGTATTAATTTACGCTCTGAACTTACAGTACCTTAAAAAGCATTCCAATAAATATATAAACAATGTTATAGCTTCTCTTAGATTTTTACAAAAGAAATGTATTATTGTATCTCTTTAGATTGTTTTGTGTATATATTTATAATAACAATAATGATAATGCAATTTCTAAGAACATTATCCAATTTCTCAAGTGGTACCTGAACAATGAGGCTGTGATCCACTCCAATGGCCATTTAATTGGCATGTCCTTGATGAATGGCCTAAAAGGATACGCTTTCCTGTGCAGGAATAGTGAACAGTAGACCCAAAGGTATACTTCTCACCAGACAGGACTGCATTAGGAGGGACGCCAGGGTGTCCACAGTCAATCACTACAATACATAATTATTAAATATAAAATTTTTTTTATATCTCCTATCGAACAACCTGTACCAAAACAGCTCAAAAGTAAATTATCTGCTCAAATATATACAACCTCCAGAAATCAAACATCTATGTGAAAACTGGCTTAAAAAAAAATACAATGCAAGTTGCAGTTGTAGTAGCGATTCTGTTAACCCACTCACCCTGAGTAAGTAAGCATAAATGATGGAGTGAGTGTGAGTCTGCATGTGTGGGGATGGTGAAAGTGTGTTCATAGGCTTATGTGCATGGGTTTGAAGTACCCATAAAGCCTAGATAAAGAGGGACGTTAGGGATAGGAGTAATGTGGGTTGGCTAAATAAGGACATAGGATGCCAAAATGATTAGAAATGAGCACATAGAGAAATTAAAAGGGAAGAACTTTGAGGGTAAAGGACAGGGAGTAAAGATAGATCTGTGATGGACAATCTAATATGTAGTCTTGACTAATTCCATTCTGAATCACTAATGAATAAATTACGGTGTACAGAAAAAATATTCTGTGGTTTATTAGCCAAAACACAACTAGGGTAGCAGAATCAGATGTTAATACATGGTAGAATTTTCTTTATAACCTAGAGGTAGCTTGGGAACTTGCTGTGTATCCACTTTTAATTGAAACTTGGAAAAATATTGAGTGCAACATGACTCTAGAGTATTAAATAGCACACAAGGGGACATAAACCTAATAAAACCATTGAGTACTTAGCACACTGCCAGGGAGTGCTATAGGAAATAAAGGCAAAAAAGTGTATGAGAGCTATGAAAATCTGAAAAAGTTCATGTTTACATGTCCTACAAAAGAGTTGTAACTTTAAATGTTATAGCCACATAAGGCCAAGTAAGTATATTAGTCAAACTACTAGACCAGTCAGCCTACAATAAGAAGTCAAATACATTTTAAGAAAGAGATCAACAATTGACTTCATTAAAATATTTGTACAGAATCTGAAATTTAATAGACACTGCATAAAATTTTGTTTCTTCCTCAGTGCATAAATGATGTGACAAAAATTTCAAAAAATCCCACCTCATGGACATGAAGACAGTACCTTGAGGTAATACACGATCGTAAAATAATTTTATAATTTAAAAATGAAGCATACCCCAAAATTACTTGCATAATGATTTCTTGACACTCTACTCCTGCAATCTATAGCCTTCTTTCCTACTATATTCAAGATTCACCAACTCTTTGAGAAACAGGTATATTTGAGATCTATCAACTCGGTAAATTCCTAGAAATTAATGTTTACTTCTTACATATTTTTATTTATTTCTGCTAATTTATTTTCTCACTACACAATGTCAATTATATGCATAACTGCTATAATTTATCTTATTTATTTTCTACAACTCAAACATAACATATAACAAAATGTGCTCACTAAATTTTCACTGGCTTGAAAGATGATGCATACTAACACTTAACTGCATTTGTATATGTATGTGTTTGAATATAATAAATATTTATGATCAATAAGTTTTAAGTAACACATTTGTCTAAATCCTCAAGTATTCTGAAGTTCTGGTGGTTGTTTACATTAAGACTAATAGTGTCTTAAATTAAATTTGAAATATTAGTACAAAAGTAAATCAAAATTTAGTTGCTTCTTATGGAATGGTTTTTCATCTGCTCTATCAAAGTTCAAAACAAAAGAACAATAGAAAGATATTCATTACATTAATATTAATTAAAAATGACATTTGGTTGTTGAATTGGAAGAATATAAAAAAGTGTAGTTTTAGAACAATGAAACAATACAATAAAACATTAAATTAAAATAATGATTACAAACAAAATCCTTCTGATATATACCTCTAGATATTTTATAAGATAATAAGTCATCCATGTGTCTTCCATGGCATTTCTCAAGAAAGAATTCACATTATCTACTTACTGATACATTCTGGTAAAGGTTTGTCCCACTGTCCATTTGGCTGACATATCAAAACTGAAGACCCAAACAAGAAATATCCTGGATTGCAGTCATAGAATACTACAGTACCATAGGTGAAATTTCCATGTTCTATTTTACTTTCTCTTTTGGAATTGGCTGGAATTCCAGGATCAGAACAGTTCACCACTAAACAAATGACAAATGTTAAAGGTATGTGTGAAATAATATACATATACTTACATCAATTTCCATAAGAAATTTAATTTCAATGGTAAACAATCAAACAAATCAAAGGTTCCAGGAATAAAATTAATACATGGACTATGTAAGGTAATGAAGTAAATTCTTTGCAGTTAAAAATATAGAAAAAAATAAACACTGTGTTGCAAGTGTTTTAACAATAGTAACTCCATAAATATTATGCTAAGTACAGATTTTTATTTATTTTTTATTTTTTAATTTTTTTAAATTTTTAAATTTATTTATTTATTTATTTTTTTAATTTATTTTTTTATTGTTAGTTTCAGGTGTACAGAACAATACAATAGTTACCCTTTTTTCACCCTCACCAGGTAACAACCCCCCTCCCCCCATCGATACCTTTTAAGCTCTAGTTAATCCATAAAAACGTAAAAATAATGATAATGTGGTTGTATTTTATCAAATAATAAGAATTATACCACACTTCTTTGCAAAATGGAAAACACCAAAAAAATTCTCTTTAATCTTTTTCTATACAGAAAACAATAAATAACCCTTCCCCCATACAGGTATCATAGTAATTTGGGCTTCAAATATATTTTTCCAAAAATATAAGGAAAATAAGTGCCAAAAGTAAGATCCCTTAATTATGAAGCAAATTGCAAGAAAAAACATTCTTAATGACTTTTTATATGTAGCCACAAAATAGGTACAAGATACTAAGGCTACACAGTTGAAATAAAGCATACCAGTTTTAACTTAAAAAAAAATAAGTTAAAAATTCAGGAAAAAGGAAAGCATTGCTAATGAGATGACATCAACATTGAATCTTTGGGTTTCATTAGCTGAAAACTTTCCCCTTTTCTGCCCAAGCTGTTTCAAATGGTATCACCTATGTTTACGTAGATACATTATTACCATGCACTAAGCTGGGATATAGTTAGACTTTTACCTTTGCACATTGGTGGAGGATGGCTCCATTGTCTGTTGGCCTGGCACTGCGCCTTAGTTGGCCCTTGCATAAGGTACCCAATATTGCAGGAGAATGTTACCACATCATTAAAGTTGAATCCATTTCCACTTGTTCGTCCATAAATTGGGCTACCAGGATGACCACAGCTGACAGCTAATAACAGTGAGTGGGGTCAGGGGAAGCACAAAACAGAATATTTGGTTATCAGTTATCACATAACAATTACCCTTAATCATTTCAAACAATGTAGAAAGAAGACCACTTTTATGTGAACATATATATTCATATATATTACTTTCACTAATGCAAAGGAGCAATTTAGAATGCCAAAATGATCTAATATAATGAAAATATTACCTTAGTAAGACACAATTACTTACAATTGTGATAATTTTATGTAAGTGGTGCCGAGATGTTTAAAGATCATGGTACCTTTCTATTTTCTCTATTTTTGTTTTTATGGAATAATACTGAAATTCAAAGAAATCTGGGAATGACTTAAATTCATGTAATTAGTTAATAGCAGAAAGGAATGAAACTGATGCATTTTACTTTTCTATTAAGTTTAAGAATTGGAAGATACTTGTCGCCAGTTGTTTGCATTTAACCTTGAAATTATTTATTTTAATATTTATACAATCAATTTCTATGAATAATAAATTGATGAGCAAAAGTGTGTTTGAAGAATAATTTAAAGTGACTCCATACATGGACAACAAAATGATGCCATATTAGAATTCTTCTTACTGGTTTATTTTCTTCACAATTGATACCTGGCAATTTAGCACAATTTTGTTTGGAAATAATGGTATTAATTAGATGAATTACTTGAATTCTTTTAGTGTTACAGTTCTATTTTAGATTTCATGGAGTTCTGGCTTTTCCCAAACACTCTGTATTTCTATGAACTGTTTTACTGCATTATCTCACTCTATTAATCAGAGCAACTCCAGTAATAGTGCTGCATTACTGGGCCCAGCAAAAAACCATAGTCATTTATAGTACTTTTGAAATTACCCAAGGGCAATTATTTTCCAGCTGTATTGTTAATGTCAACCTAGTCATATGGAATTTTAACTGCATCTTATTCTTGTTAAAATTATCAATAAAGCAGCCAGTTTTACCCCATGGAGCAATTTTCATTTACAGTATCAATTATTTAACAAGAAAAACAGCAGTATTAGTTGGTTATGCTTCAGTATAAATGAAAGGGGAAAAAATCAGGACCGATACAAGCATAATATTGCTGTTTTTAACTCGCCAGGCAATGTGTGTGTGTGTGTGTGTGTGTGTGTGTGTACACTCATGTGTAAGAACATGTGCATACACACACCAACACCCACACCACACACACACACCTTAGAAAAGTAATTTTAATTGTTAAGTATATGATCTATTATCCTATTAAATCTCAACACACAAAATTCTTTTCCATGAAAATAGAACGCTAATCAATTTCTATTGATTGGATAAAAATTTGACAACGATGAAACTTATACATATGGATATAATTAGTCAGAATAAATGAAGTGTCCCACGCATTATTTATCTGAAGCTTCCAAAATTCTCTATAGTGTGATCCTATGATATGATATTACAATTACAACATATTTACAGCATTTATTCTCATTTTCTAACACCAATTTTAATATAAATGTCAGTAATTGGGGATGGAAATAAGGAAAAAAAGAGAAGAAACAATTTGATAATTGACTTTCAGGTCCAAAATGAGATAGCCTATGATGTGAAATATTATGTACTGCTGGGAATTCAGTGGGGTAAGAAAAAGTAATAGCGCTAATAAATATTCAAATATATTATGATTTTAGTAGTATAACAATCTTAATAAATGCATAATGGGCAAATCTATATCAGACATATAGGAACCACAAAGCACAGCAGGTATATTTAAAGAATAATAATATAAAAGTACTATTTTAAAATCCATTTTATTTTTTCATGTGTGAATTCCTAACTAAATTAACTTAAAAGATCAGATAGATATTTGTTGAACTGGTAAGGTATTTTATTAAGACAATTCCAAAATTACATATGGATATATAATCTTGTATGAATTTTTAAAAAAGTAGAAAGAGTACTTGAAAACAAGCTTTTAAATTAATTTTAAAAAACCTATAATCTGTTATGTCAAAATATTATAATGACACCAGCTGTGTATATGCAATCTTGGTGCATTTAAGAATACTACGGATTTTGAAGCAAAAAGGGCCATAATGATAAACACTTTCAATCATTTACTTTATATATAAGGGAATTAGAGCCTAGAGATTAGCAGTGGACTGAAACGAGAGCAATTTTCAAGGTCATGTCTGATGACTCCTCCACACACAAATTACACTCTAGGAGAATCTGATTTTGATGTGACACTTACAGCATCATAATTATTATTAAAAATTTATCTGGGGCCTGCCGAGTGTCGCGATGGTTAAGAACTGGCTTGGGACACCAGAGGCCCCCGGTTCGGATCCCACATATGAAGGCCAGTGACACTGCCCTCCACAGCTAAGATGCTGAACAACAGCTCAACCTGGAGCTGATCTGCCATGAGTCACCGGTGACGGTGTAGGCTGCAGCCCCTGTGGCAGTGAGTTGCCATGGGCTACCCTATGTAGCCAGCAGCCAGCGAGAGCGGCCAGCAGCCACAGTGAGTGGCCGTCCAGAAGCCGGCGACTGATCTGCCTCATCTGGGAAGAGCGCAATGATGGTGCCAACTTGGGCCAGTGAAGCAATGTCCTCCACAACTAGACTGAAGAACAAAACGACAGCAACTTGTCTGTTCCCCTTCCCCCAATTCCCTAGCACTGTTGCCATCCCCCCAATTCCCCAATAAAAATCTTAAAAAAAATTATCTGAAGTATTTTCCACTATAAAAAGCTTCATAGTATTATATTTCACAATATTTATGCTATTGCACAGTGATCTCAAGAAATTAAAATCCATATAACTAAAAATTTGTCAAGAATGCACCTTCCATATAGAAATATGGATTTATACATAGTACATATTTATATTAAATACTAGAAAAGCTGAATTTAAATTCTTGTCTTTATGATAAAACATAAATAATACCAGACATTCTAATACTTTCTCCGTGTTGCATGCTTCTGAACGCACCCCACTGTAAAGATGAATGTTTACCAGTATAAAAAAAGATTTGTGAGAATTTAGTATGTCTTCATCTGTAAATATATGCATGTATATATTTACATATACAGGTGTGTGTGTGTGTGTGTGTGTGTGTGTGTGTGTATACTTACATATCCTACCTAAGAATAAAATTACTGGTAATTGAGTGAGAACAGAGGTCTCTAATTACTTCTGCCATGCTTACTTACGCACACAGGATGGGAGCTGACCAGACCAATTGTGGTCCTGTTGACATATTCTCACTGAGGAACCAATCAATCGAAAACCAGGGTTACACTGATAAACAACAGTGTCTCTGTAACCGTAATTTTCTCCAATGACTTGACCATTCACGATGAGTTCTGGAATGCCACAGTGACCCGCTGAAATAAGTCAGAAAGAAGTATTTTTAATATTGTGATCTAAGTTTTATTTCTGTATTTATATACATATATAAAATTACTAAACTTTTAAAGTTTACTTAGAAGCATGTCATAAATTATGCATACACAGTTATATGACATGAAGATAACTACAAGATATTCAGCAAAATGCTAAATCAGAGAATTAAAAGAAAACCCACTTCTATTGTAGTAACAGTTGGGTCTAGAAGAAATTCAATGTGTATAAAAATTAAAATATAACATTAAAATTTGAAGAATACAGACAAAGCAGTGCTTAGTGTGGAAATTTATAGCATTATGTGTCATTATTAGGAAGATATATAATCAATGACCTCAAATTCCATGTAAAGAAGAGCGAAATAAAAAAGAGGGGAAAATAAAGTCAAAATATGTCAATGGAAGATATATTAAAAACAGTTTAAGAAATTAAGAAAATGGGAAATAAAAAAGCTATAGAGAAAACATTATCTAACCTAAACATTCTTTCTTTAAAAGCAGCAACAAAGTTGTTAAACTCCTAGCTAATCCTATCAACACAAGAGAACAAAGTTACCAATAACAGGAAAGAATAAATTGATATCATTATGAGCTTAAAGAATGAAAAGTATAAGGAAATGTGAAGAACAACTTTATGCCAATATTTTTAACAGGTTGCAATAAAAAGAATAGTCAAGATATGGAAGCAACCTAAGTGCTCATCAATAGATGAATGGATAAAGAAGAGGGGGTGTGTGTGTGTGTATATATATATATATATATATATATATATATATATATATATATATATAATGAAATATTTATTATTCAACCATGAATAAGAATGAAATCTTACCACGTGAGACAACATGGATGGACCTAAAGGATATTATGCTAAATGAAATTAGTCAGACTGAGAAAGACAAATACCATATGATCTCCCTTACATGTGGAATCTAAAAGACAACATGAATGAACAAACAAAACAGAAACAGACTCACAGATGCAGGGAACAAGCTGATGGTTGTCAGATGGGAGGGCGGCTGGGGGACAGGGTGAAAAAGGTGAAGGGATCAAGAAATACAAATTGGTAGTTACAAGATAGTCATGGGGATGCAAAATACAGCATAGGGAATATAGTCAATAACGTTGCAACAACTATGTATAGTGCTAGGTAGGTTCTAGACTAGTCAGGGAATCACTTTGTCAAATATATAAATGTCTAACCACTATGCTGTACACCTGATATTAATATAAAGTAATAATGAATGTTAGCTGTAATTGAAAAATTAAAAAGGGGGGAAGGTGAAGGGGGATAAGAGGTCCAAATTTCCAGGTATAAAACAAATAAGTCATGGGATGTAACGTACAGCACAGGGAATATAGTCAATAATATGGTAATAGTGTAGTATGGTGTCAGATGGTTGCTGGATTTATCATGGTGATCACTTCTTTAGGTATATAATATTGAATAATTATGGTGTACACCTGAAAGTATTATACTGTTGTTTGTTAGCTATATTTTAATAAACATCTTTAAAAAGAATAAAAAGACAAATTCTTTGAAAATCATATCATACAAAAATAAACACAAGGTTAAATAGAAAATTTGAATAGTCCTTTATCTAGTAAAGTATTTGAAACCTTAAAACCCTTCCCATAAAAAACACTCAGACTCAGATGTTGTCACTGGTAAATTCAATCAAACATTTTCACACATGAGAAGAATGACTGGACTACATGAATTTGTAAGCTCATCCCAAGCATAAGATGCTAGGATTTGTTTGTTTGGCCAGTGTACTTCCCTCCTACCAACACCCTTTTAAATTTATATCTGATGTCAAAACTATGCCCTTAGTAATGGATGATGATATTGTCTTCACAGGCTGAGAGGCAATGTTTTCTCGTAAATATCCCTTTTATGATTTGACTCTTCAGAGAACAGACTCAGAATTCTAAATAGGAGAATAAAACCACCATCTCCATGTCATATTCAATAAATAATACACAATAACAGTTCATCAGGGCATGGGGCCACAAAATACAATATTTTAGATTTAGTTTATATATACACATTCAAGTTTATGAGTAAACTATGTAATCAGTAATTGAAATCAGCATAGCCAAAATCAGTTTAAGAACTATTAGGAAAACAGTTTAGTTGATCATTAAATCCTACATTAATATATGAAGATTTCATTATTTACTATTTTCTTTTTTATGCAGTAGTCTTATAGGACATTGACAAGTATATGCTCTTATATAGAAACCACTGTTGCTAGGTTTCCAAGTATACCTACGAACAAATGTGTCTAAAATGGGGGGTGGGGAGCAATTTTACCAAAACCTCTAGCTATACCATTAAATTTCAAATAATGATTGCATTACCATGAATATTTTCAAGTATTTTAGCAAAACAATATGTATTTAAATTGTTAAAGTATAGGCTTTTCTGCCATGCATCATATTTTATAAAAGTAAAATTTTAGAGACAAAACATTGTACAAATTTAGCAATACACTCTTCATAACAATCAGCAATTTTTTAATTAGTAAACAAAAGATTATGTCTTGTTCCCAACAGACAAGTGAATAATTAGAACAATTTCCATTATACCTAATTCAACAGTGGCTGTCATATCTTGATATCATTTTAGAGAAAAACAAGGCATAAATTATACCATTCTTGTAATATTAAAGAAGTTATTGAAATCTTTGAAAAGAGATGAAGTATAAATCATAATGTTATTTTAATAATAAAAGAGGTGTAAGAAGAAATGACTAGTTTGGTTTTTTTTACTGCACAGTTTTTCATAATGAATTCAAAAAACCTAAGGGGAAAAAAAAATCCTATTAGCCCTAAAACCAAGTTTAAAAACCATATATTTAAAATTTGAATGAAAAGTAATATTACACATGTTCAAATCTTGTGAAATAAAAACAGAGAAACATACTCAAATGTGGAAATTATTTTTCCTCTTCAGTCTTTACCTTAAGCAAATAGGTGAAAGGAGAATTGATTATGGTTTACAGTGAATTAACTGCTACGCCAATTAATCCAGATGAGTATGCAGACATATAATTATCAGCAATTAGTTTTCACCTTTTTATTTTCATCATGCTTGAAAGACAATGTGTCTCTCCTTAATGCCATAAAAGTCTCATTTGGAATACTAGTCGATTAGTTTAAGGAAGAGTCATCTGTTTAATAGCTTTTCTACCATGGAAAAAAAAATTTTTTTAATTAAATAATATCCAGTTTTTTAGAATCCTTACTGAGTGAATATCAGTTGTTACTTCATATCTTCCAGGGGGTGCCGGGGGGAATGGGGAAGGCGTTGGCTAAAATGACTTTAGAATCTGTACCTAGGCATCTGGTTTCAGATCCACTCCAAAGACCTGAGGAAAGGCATTCCCGGACAGCAGAACCGACCAGCATGAATCCTGAATCGCAGGTAAAAATGGCCGTGGAGCCATATGAAGTTTGAGTTCCAATCTTATTTCCATTTGGAGGTGTAGGTAGTTCTCCACAGGAAATAACTTCAAAACAATGAAAAAGTTAAAACGCTTAAAAGCAGTGTCAAGGTGCACTTGTAACAAAACCATGTTTTTAATATTTTGAATTCCCTATGATTTGACATATTTACGTTAAAACTGACATCTGTAAAACATGTTTGAATGAGTGTAAAAATGTAGAGAAAATAGATGACATAATTTAAAATGTATCCCCTTTAAGCTCCCATAAAATCTCTAAGTTACAGAGACGTATAAAGCTATTTTCTTTTTTTTTTCTGTTTCATTTGTTTATTTTGTTCTTTAGATTCTACTTATAAGACAAATCATATGACATTTGTCTTTCTGTCTGACTTACTACACTCAGCAAAACACCCTCTTGGTCCATTCATGTTGTTTCGAATGGCAAACTTTCATTCTATTTTTCCTGGGTGAGTAATATCCCATTGTATATATTTGTACCACCTCTTCTTTATCCATTTTTCCATTCAGGGACACCCAGGTTGCCATCATATCGTGGCTATTGTACATAATGCTGCAATGAGCATAGGAAGGTACATGTCCCTCGATATAGCATTTTGGGGTTCTTGGGAAAAATACCCACAAATTGGATTACTGGGTCCTTCTTTGTCTTTTGTTATACCTTTATTTAAAGTCTTTTTTGTCTAGTATAAGTATTGCTACCTCAGGTTCATTTTTTTCCCTCCATTTTCATGAAATATATTTTTCCTTCCCTTTACTTTCATTCTGTGTTCTTTCAATCTGAAGTGAGTCTCTTGTAGGCAGCATATGTAAGGGTTTTGTTTTATTATCCATTCAGCCCTATGTGTTTTGATTGGGACATATAATCCACTTAAATTTAAAGTAATTGTTAGTAGATATGTAATTACTGCCATTTTATTATTCTTATTTTTGATTTTTTTTTTAATCTCAGAACAAGTCAGTGAGTAGGTCTGTATGTGGGCCCTTTAAGAGGATCACCTGAAACTCTAGAGGCCTCTGTCTCACTCAGCCACAATCTCTGCTGGCTTTCAAAACCAGAAGTTACGGAGATTTCTCTCCTCACCACTAAAACTCTGGGCTGGAAGCCTGGTGTGGGGCTGGGATCCCTCACTCCATGGGGGACCTCTGCAGCTGAAATAGCCTTCCGAATTTTTAATGGTTCCACATGGTGGGGGACCAGCCTGTTTTTTGTCTTTGCCCCTCCTATCAGTCTCCAGGTGGCTTCTTCTGTATGTCCTTAGTTGTAGGGCTTTGGTTCAGCTAGATTTCAGGTGATTCTCAATAATCATTGTTCTATAGTTTAGTTATAATTTTGATGTGGTCATGACAGGAAGCAAGCACAACATTTATCTACTCTGCCATCTTGACCAGAAATTTTTCATAAAACTATTTTCTGTGTATCTTTTGTTTAGCCAATCTGGTTACTCAGCAGGTTGTAGTGATAAAAAGAAAAGCACAAGATTAAAGGGAAAATAACTCATTAGTCCAAAATCTTCCTCTGACTTATCAAGTGACATTGGGAAATTCCTTTGACCTGCCTGAGCCAAAGTTTCCTCATTATCTAAAACAATGCTAAGATAGTGATTATAATTATTTTTGTTGAGAATCCTACAGTTTATAAAGAGCTTTACATCTGAAATGTCATTTGATTCTTACAAGAACCATTAGGTATAATTATATTTCACATTTTATTTATAGGTTTTAAAAAAAGAAAAACATTAACAGACTTGTTAGGACATTCAAAAACCAGCTCTTATGGCTTCACATTTAAATACTAAAAATGAAATCTTTGTATAGAATAAAGAATAATAGTGGATTATGTTTATTGAGTCCTTATTTTGTACCAGACACCATTACTAGTGCTTTCACTTATGTAATTCTCAAAACAACTCTGTGAAGTAGGTATAGTCATTATCTGAGTTTTACACAGTAAGATATTCAGCACATAGAAGTTAAGTAATTTTAATGAATTTACACAGTCTGCAAATAGCTAAAGCAAAATTTAAACCCAGCAGTCTTAAGTCCAGAATCCAATACTCAATCACCAGCCCATGATGTTTTATGCTGACTCCAGCTCCAGCTTTCACCTCTAGGCTTTTGATGGTCATTAGATAGACAAATAGAAAATTTTCAATCTTTGAGTCATTGCATATAAAATTTTAAATGTACTGATTGGTTTGAACTACTCCCCAAATAATCCCTTTAAGGTACATATAATATTTATTAATATTAAAAATACTAATATTTATATTATTTTAATTTAAAACATGAGTAAATAGAGGACCTGAAAAATTACTATTCTTTCCATTTTCTCAATGAATTGAGATTGTGAGATTCTTCATTGGTCCTCATTCTTAGCTATGGGCAAGAACCTGATGTTATTTATCAATTAAACCCTTCTACATACTAGAGGATTGAGCACAAAGGAGCCAGGTAAACATTTGTAGAATGTGAAATAAATGTTTCCGTAGTAGATAATGTTTCCTAGCTCCTTGAAATATCCCTATCCTATATGTCTTTTTAAAGAAATTATAAAATACTGGAAGAACAATGAGACTAAAGGCAGAGAAAATTCCTGGGAGAAAAACCCCCCAAAAAGGGCAAAATTTTACCAAACAGATGCCATATTTTTAGAAAATCAAATATAAATTAGATATAGTTTTTGAGATTTTAATTCATCAATATAATTATCTTATAAAAAGGGCAACCCCAAAATCCTATGCTTAAATAGAGATTAAGAAAGTAAATTGCAAAATAGAATATTAATAGAATAGTAGATACTTGTGTACTTATTACACATAGCTGTATGCCTTGTTAAACTTCTTATTCATCATTAGACTTGTTATTCCTTTTTTAGTTTATTTATAAATTATCAGTGTCTGTGCCATAAATGCCATAGAGTTGTGTTGGATACAAAATAAAGGATGAATTTTCAGCCTAGCACATTTCCCAGCACAAAGTAAATGCTCAGTAAAGAAGTGAAGGAAGTTCCAAGGGAGTTCAAGATATTTCACCTGAATGTTCTATGTTTAATTAGTTTAGCTACTTAAACACTGGCCATTTACAGTATTACATTGTAAGAATACACAGAAATAGAATGACTTAATACATTCAATTTTATTCAATAAATATTTATTGAGCTCCTTCTGTGAATCAGGTTCTAGCTGATATTTTCAACACATCACACCATTAAATCTTTATAATAACATGATAGTAATTTTCTAGTTTAAGAAATTTGAATTTAAAAGGATAAACATTATGTAAAATAGTGATTAAAAGCCAGAGGCTATAGACAGACTGCATGAGTTGAATCCCATTTCTCCACCATTTATAGGCTCTGTGACTTTTGGAAAGTGATTAAATCTGGGATCAGTTTTCTTTTTGACAAAGTTAATAATATCAACTAATTTAGAGGATTGGGACTAAGGAATCAATAAAATAATACACAAAAAGGGCTAAAAGCAGAGCTTGGCAACTTTAAGTATGCAATTAACATTATCTATTTGTCATAGTAAGTAATACAGCTAGAATTCAAATATAGGATTTCTGAATCCAAGGCTTATGCTTTTTACATAAGCATTTACTAATAAAAAAACTAGAAATTTTTAAAGTGTAATGAGAATAAATAACTGTTTAAATAACATTATCTCATTATCGTTGTAGTGTGTTTGGAACAGGAAATGGTCAGGCAATTCAATCACCAAAGATAGCTTATGAAACAAGTTTAGCAGAGCTTCTACTTACTTTGGCAATAGGGTCTTTCATTTCTCCAACTCCATGTACCATTAGGAAGGCATTCAATAGAAGCGGGACCTAGCCCATGATAACCAGGGTCACAGCTGAAAACTACCTTGGTTTTGTATTCATAATGGGATCCATTCACAATTCGCCATCTTCCATGTTCCAAGGTAAAGGAGTTGATGCTTGGACATGTAACAACTATACAGAAACCAAGAACATAAATGCTAATAAGTCAGCCATGTCTATTCTATCATTTAAACCAACATTTTCCAATCCTTTTCATACCAAATATTTTATCAGAATTATATCTCATTATATAATATTCATTTACCTTTTAAAGTAGTAATGACAGAAATGGAAAATATTCTAAATGTAGGTAACCTAAAGAATACTGACAAAAGTTGCAAGTTATCGGTCATGTGAGCAGCATCATTTATCCTTATAAAAATCAGAGTTAAATGTATTGAAATATAATTTTATTAATGCAAACTTTAAAAGAATTTTCAAGAGCCTGTGCATTGAAACACTGTTAATTGACGAATGACTTTTTACAAAATAAATGAAAACTTGTTATGTAAAATGAAGAGTCACTTCAATTTTTAATGTAAATAGTTTGGAGTTTCCAAAAATTAGTGTAAAGTCCTTAAACTGTCTTCCAATCATGCATAGTACCCAACAGCTAAATTAACTTTTATTTCCCTCTTAGACATCACACCTTATTTAAGGAATTAGTTCTGAAATTTAAACAATACATACAATTTCAGATCATATAAGATGCCAGTAGAAATACAAGTGATGAAATTTCCTTAATAAACATACCAACACAGCGAGGGGTCTTGTTGTGATTGCTCCAAGTTCCATCTGATTGGCATACAGCAGTGGTAAGTTCCTTAGATGACAATCTATATCCATCATGACAAAAATAGGTAACTCGTGTTCCTACCAAGTAGTCTGTTGTAAGTATTCCTCCATTTTTTGGAGCTTTAGGTATCCCACAGGAAATTGCTAGAATAAATACATACAGACAAAAATCATAGAAACAGAAAAATACTTAATTTATTAGATAAGTCTTTTAAACTGTAAAGCACGTAAAAAAAACTATTGGGATTTTATTAATTTCCCTGAAACAATTTCAGAATGCCTCCTAAAAAACGTTTTTCTGAACCATAACTTTTTGAATAATTTATTTCAAACTCTTAATTGAATATGTTTTTTAATTGGTGAGTCATACATTAGTATGCTTTATTTCCAGTTTCTTACTTAGTTTCTTGTCAGCATGTAAATGGTTATCAGCATTCATATAGATTATACAAGAATGCAAGTTAGGTATATATAGAGTGTATCTAGTGCTAACCCATGACTGGACCATCACGCAGCAAGTTTGGTCAATTCAATTTATCAGATAATTATTAAAAATTATAAAGGTGATAGTAGCCAATACTCATCAGGACTTTGGCCAGGAATAAAACAAATAGATTTATTTTACCTGGAAGCTGGATATTGCTTTGTCTTAGGTCCAGCCAAACTTTATGTGCTTGGACACCATCCATGGAATATCATATGCATGACATGTTTAATAAATATAAAGCCAGGACTTATTGTCTTAAAACCTAGTTTGGATCTTCCTGCATTTCATTGATATGTCTTAGATGTCTTGGTTTTTATCTACAATAAATCTGATTTAGGTGAAAATTAGTTTACTCATAGGTGATAATTATAGTAAAATTTTATATTTAAATAGTTTATTGTATATATTTCCACATCTTATAAATGCAAAGGGCTATACAGAAATCCCCTAAGATTAACTGGTTTTCCATCTTTGCTCTACAAGTACACAATTTGTATCTCAAAAAAGAAAAAAAAAATAAGTGTTCAAAGAATACATTTGGCGGCAAAGCCATAAGTAAGATTATTTGTATCTCTTATATTATATTCAGATATGTGTGAATATTTATATATATTTCTGCAGCAAAAAGAGAAGCATGTTTGAATATGGGTGGAGCCCCAGAGCAAGCTGGAGTTATTATGTAATAGCTGGTATGTGTACTGTATTACCTCTATAAAATCAGAAAACTTCTGAATTCTGAAATGTCTAGTCTTATAAATTTCACAAAGAACTTCTAGACTTGTAACTATATTATTCTTTTATCAAAAGAAATAAAGAACAGAAAGATATGACATAAGCAAGACCCATGAATCTGAATATTGACAAATGCTGTGTTCCCTTTACCTACCTCCCATTTCAATCTAAAATTGTTTCTACTTCTCTTAAAAACCTATCATTAAGGTGTTTAAATTTAACTAATCCATGTGAATTGACTATAACATGAAAATATCTTAGTGAAATCTACATGAAATTCTCAGAACTGAATGGGAGATTTACTACTGGTGAATAGTTGGATCCTCTGTAATTTGATAACCTGCAAATTATGAACAAATTTTGATCTTTTGTAATTTTATAACCTGCAAATTATAACACTGACCTAATAAATTATATAAGCAATCTCATATAATTATGTTATTATCCCTGCTATCTAAATAAAGAATCTCTAAAATAGTGTTGGAAACGTAAATGGTTTCCTGATGTCTGCCTGTTAAAGAAATATTTATATTCCTCTTAGGACTTCTGGGAATTTCAACACCAAAGATTGTATATTAAATGATCTTTAAAAAATTATACATTGTTGGAGTAGTATAAGTTGAACTTAAATCAAAGTAAAAGGAGAATGCAGGTTAAAAAGTGTAGGTTCCATATATCTGATTAGCATAAAATGGCTATATTGTAGAAGTAAAAAAAACCAAAACACTAAAATGATAGTACGGCAGCTGTGCTTGTGAATAGTGGATAGCTTACAATTTAACTTCTCAGCTAAAAAAAGAAAACGAACCAAGTTCAGAAGACTATCATCACTCCATAGTTGTCAAAGAGCCCTCTCTACAGAACTCTCCAAAAAAGCACAAATTAAAAATGAGGCAGGGAATACAAAATGACAGTTCCTGCAAACACTATATAATACTCATTGTACAGTGAGATGAAAATGGTTCAGTTTCTCAAGGAGGGGATGAAAATGATTTAATTCCTGAAAGAGGGAAAAATCAAAGAATGACTATTTGATATGTAGACAAAGAAATAAAAAAGCAAACCAAATCCAAGAAGAGGTAGTAGACTAAATTTTCTCTTTAACGATGCTCACATTGTGTAACCATAGCTCAAGTAAATGTATGTGAGGATGGATAAGGAGACTGGAGAGACAACATCAATAAAAATCAAGAATGTAAAGCAAATTTGGAACAAAACAAAAATTCGCATTATATGAATAGCTCTTCACAATGATATTTAACCATTAAATTTTACTCATCTATGTCCAAACACAGATAGGTCACATACAACAAACATCTTTAGAAAATTAATTAATGTTTTAAAATTGTTTAGTGATAATAAAAGATCAATTTTGGAAGTGGCTCCTTGAATTATAAATATTTATCACTTTACTACACAAATATCATGTTTTTAAACTGCATTTCAATTTATCTATTCTAATTGTATAACGATTTTAAATCAAGAATAATGAAAAAACATAACTCCATATTTAAATGTCATATTATATACCAAAAAAAATCAATGAAATTATAGAGCTGACTCAAGAAAGCAATTTCAAACTTTCAGGATATATTTTATTTTAACCAAAAGTTAATTATTTTTCCTAAAGATTTCATAAAGATTATCATACATATTAAATAGGTTATTAAATGTATATGTAATACATTGTACATATTAAAATATATAAATAATTGTTACATAACTAAATGTGATAGTTTAAAGTTCAGAGCATTTTAATGTTTATTTAAAATATATACGATTTAAAGGTTCTTATATATATTTTAAATTCCTATCCTTCTAAAATTATGGGATCAAAGATTCTTTTTCAAACCAGAGATAGAAAAATTAGTTAATACTAAGAATTTGTAAGTACTCCTGGTATTCATTGGTCAGAGGAACACAGGTGTTTTGATAGTTTATTAAAATGTATCTATTCTACATGTAATCGGCTATTTCACTGTTTGCAGCCCTGTAAGGTTATGACACTTCCCAGAATTCTAATAAACAGTTAGTGTTTCCTGAATCAACAGAAAAACAAAACAATAGTTCTTTGTTTTCTCAGTTATTTATACATGCCTACGAGAGCTATCTTTTCATGAATTAGAAATTGCAGTTTGTAGGTAAAAGAAGCCATTCCAGATGTCAAGTAATATCTATTCTATGCTCATTTTAACTTGCTGTTGTTTAATTTTAAATTTCAATTGATCTATTTTACAATATTTTTTGTTTTATAAAAATTGCCTCCATTAAGTAGATTATAGATAAGATGCATTATTTATTAATTGAGGCTGTTTTGTATTTTTTTTTAATGTGAGCATTCATACTTGTTATATACACCTTCCCATTCAGGATAGAATAAATCAAATATAAAATTAAGTTTCATATTGACAAAATAATGTGACATATTTGAAAATTTTTCAAAGTTCAATGACATTTGATTTTTCTTGTGTAACTTATGCTGACCATGTCTTTATGACTATACCTAGATAAGAGACTCAACAACTTTTTAAAAAAAAGACCTAGTCCAAAGCTCTAAAATATGCCCTTGGTCAATTAAGTAAATTTTCATCGTGTTTGCAATAGCATGATAAATGCTCAGAGAGTGCCTTGATTTTTAGCAAAATATAAATGCAAATGAAAGACATATCACTGTTGAGTCAGCTAAACAGTAAAGACATGATCATGTGGTGGTTAGCTCCATTTTCCTCTTTTAAACTTGTCGCTCTGAGAGCACATTTTTGCATACTCAGAGTGAAAGTCTTTAAAGAACTTGCCCACTCTTACCCTCACTATTCTTTTTGCAAACTCCACACTAATCCAATATCCAGCTCTGGGTCAATTATTTTCTGACAACAAAGTGAATGAAGTCATAGATGCATGAGTACATTATGCATTTAAGTGGATAAAGTAAAGGCATAAATCACATAACAACAAATGAAGAATTTAAAACAATGTGTCTCAGTCTCCACAGATATATCATTCCGCATTTTTTTTAAGACTTATTTTCATGAGAGGCATTTATAATATGATTCTGAATGTTTTATATATTTTGGGACATTTCAGTGATCCAAGTGAAAAAGTTTAAAAGGGTTAACTTTTTTCTCAATTTTTTATCCTTTTTTTGAATGATATACTTTACCTTGACAAGCAGGGACCGGAGCATCCCATGCATGATACCCATAGGAAGACCTTCTACACACAGCACTGCTTTTACCCACAAGTCGGAATCCTCGATCACAGGCCCAGCGCACCACACTATTAAGTTGTCCACCTGTCTGACTGATGATGTATCCGTGAGGCGGGGATTCTGGGGTGCTACAGTAGAAAGCTTTTCAAAAGAATATAACAGTCACTGCATAATTAGTGAATCGGCAGCTCTTTATATCCCAGGGTAATAAAAACCTACGAATGCACATCAATACTTTAAAATAGGCCATCTATGTGAATTTTATTTCATCTGAACATCAAACTATTTTATATCTTCTTGACAATATACCGACATGACTTTTATGAGACATAACTATCTCTGGGCTTTTTTCTTCTAATTCTTATCGTCACCAAAGATATCTTCTGAATTGAAATATATCATATTTTCTTAATGCCCCAGAGGTTCAAAAGCCTTACAAATATTTCAGAGAGTTTTGGAAGCTGTATTTCCTGTCATTTGAAGGGCCTAAATGCCAAAAGCCTTGGTAGGAATATTTTAGAACATGTTGTTTACATGTCACTTTGACGTTCTCTCCAGACAACTACATATCATATTAGATCATGCATTTAATTTTGGTTGATGTCTCAAAAGGATCTCCCACATTCCATAATCCTCTTTTCCAATTTATTAAAGTTTCTATGCTGTCAAGAATGCTTACATATGGTGATAAAAAATGCCAATAAAATAAAATTTTTTCATCTCCTGAAGTCTGAAATGTCAAAGATAATGTCAAATAGCATTTTCATATATATGTACTTTTAAGACTATTCAGCCTGGCAGGATCCATTTACCCTTTGAAACTTCAATGTATTCATTTGAGAAAAATGAGACTTTAGGGGTAAATCGTAGGAAATAGCTTGGACTTTGAATATATAAGTCATAGCCTGTCGTTTCTAAAGGAAAAATATATATTCAATATGTCAAGCTGTTCTTGGGGCTAAAAGTGGTGTTCTCACTATATTTATATTCAAATTTGTCATGAATATCAGCATAAGGCTTTAGTTTATAATATAGTGAATCTAGTGCTTATAATGGCTTGATTTGGATAGTGTGCCTTTAACTTATTATGATCATTAAAAATACAATTTAACGTACTGACTTTTAAATGCTGTCTTTGGGCACAAGTTTAATAAAAAGACATTTACACTATTCAGATGATAGAAACAGATTCAAATATGAAAATCTCAAGGACTGAGGCATATATTATGACTGGATAATATATTTTAATTTTTAAAAACATTTCTCTTTTTCAGGCCTAATCATATATTTTAATTGAATAGAAATCTATTATAGGATAAAACTTGTATACATATTAGTAATATGATGTGAGAGATAAGTTACTTCTAATATGTAAAATACAAATTGTTAATAAATTAAAATCAAACTATCACCGTAGAGCTTTAAAATTAAATAGACAAAAATGATTTTATTTGTACATTATATTTATGCAAATTTTCTGTATGAGTAAAATTTGAGAGTATACATTTAGAAATTATATTAAAAAGTTATTTAAGCCTATGTCTAGAATTATGTCAGAATTGTTGTTGTTTTTTTTAAAGATTTTTTTATTGGGGAATTGGGGGGATGGGAACAGTGATGGGGAATTGGGGGAAGGGGAACAGACAAGTTGCTGTTGTTTTGTTCTTCAGTCTAGTTGTGGAGGACATTTCACTGGTCCAAGTTGGCAACATCATTGCACTCTTCCCGGGTGAGGCAGATCAGTCGCTGGCTTCTGGACGGCCGCTCACAGCGGCTGCTGGCCGCTCATGCTGGCTGCTGGCTACATACGGTAGCCCATGGCAACTCACTGCAGCAGGGGCTGCAGCCTACACCGTCGCTGGCGACTCATGGCAGCCCAGTTCCAGGTTGAGCTGTTGTTCATCATCTTAGCTGTAGAGGGCAGTGTCACTGGCCCTCATATGTGGGATCCGAACCGGGGCCCTCTGGCATCCCAAGCCAGTTCTTAACCATCGTGCCACTCGGCCGGCCCATGTCAGAATTGTTTATAAAATATTTATGAAAGTAATTTTCAGTTGAATGACTAGCAATGACCCATGGTTTAGGAAGACATTATCTGAACACTGCACAGAAAGAGATGGCTAATTGGTTCTAAAGTATTATGCTATTGAGCACATAGAGATGGCATCTGAAATGAATTAGAATGGCAATAAAAAAAGGAATACAGGGCCAGCCGAGTGGCGTGTTGGTTAAGAGCTGGCTTGGGACGCCAGCTCTGAGCAGCAGGGCCCTGATTCGGATCCCATATGAAGTCCGGTGACACTGTACTCTACAGCTAAGATGGTGAACAACAGCTTGACCTGGCGCTGGGCTGCCGTGAGTCACCAGTGATGGGTAGGCTGCAGCCCCTGCTGCACTGGGCTGCCTTAAGCTACCGTGTGTGGCTGGCAGCCAGCGTGAGCTGCCAAGAGCCACGGGGAGCGGCTGTCCAGTGGCTGGTGACCGATGTGCCTCACCCGGGAAGAACACAATGTTAATACCAACATGGGCCAGTAAAGCAATGTCCTCCACAACTAGACTGAAGAACAAAAGGACAGCAACTTGTCTGTTCACATTCCCCCAATTCCCCAGCGCTGTTCCCCTCCCTGAATTCCCTAATAAAATCTTTAAAAAAACAAACAAAAAAAGCAGTATAACCTTAACTTAATGGGGAACTATTTATGTACACTTACACAACAAGAAAATTATTGACTCAGCATCAGTAGATCTTATAAACAGAAAGTCATACAAAAAGCTATTTCATATTGATATTATAAGAATTTTCAGCCCACATCTTTCTAAACATTACTCTATGAAAAGCAGTAGTGACAAAACACTTATTTTTTTACATTTTAAATGATGTGTCTGTCCGTCATTCTCTCTTTAAATATTTAATATAGTTAGCAAGTATCACAGATGAATAATAATGAAAACGTTTTTACCATTGTATCTTTACCTTTTGTTCAAATGTGTAATTTAAAGGAGTTATGAAATTGATCAGATATACACAATTGAGCAATACTATTAATTTTGTGAAAGTTCAAAGGAAACAAATCTACTGGGAAAAAAAACATTAAAAATAATTTTAATTGATAATTAACTTAGATAAGTCATTAATATTCTAAGTGCTTTTCATCTTTTCAAAAATCATATGACCAAGTTGTAGAATTATTATCATACAATGGTGAAACTAAGACAGAGAGAGGTCCCATAAATTGCTCAAGAAACAACAGTGGAAGAACTGTGTTTTAAATTCCTGTCTAATGGAATAAGGCCTGGGTCTGTGTGCTTTAAAAAAAAAGTACTGTGGACACAGGTGAGATCTGTGCTAAAGTTATAAGTATCACATACCGATATATCTTATCCGGAAGCCTTTTTTGTTATTGCCATGATCTGCTGACCACTGGAGAAAAACCTCATGACCGTTGCTCGTTACATTAAAAGCAGATGAATAATCTCCACTGAGGGAAACAAGCACTGGACTTTGAATATTTGGTCCTTCAGAAAGAACATAATACAATTTTTTAGATACACCTGAAAAATTATGTTCCAATTTACTTTTAGTATTTTATATCATTAGAATAGTATTATTATATATAGTGAAATTGCTCCTCAACCGAACTGCCTCATCAACAGTAACTTAAAACATAATATAAAATGTTTGTTTTCCACATTTTAATTTCATAGCCAAAGACTCTCCAATGTATAAAATCACCAAGTTAATTACCATTTTCATATGGTATTTAAGCAAATTTGATGTTGATATTCTAAAACTATCTATAATATAACATAAAACCATATACATAGTTGTTGATACTGAATGTCTGCATTGTATAAATAGAGTATTTGGACTCAATTTAGGAATATCCAGTAAATATAACCCATGGTTACCATCATACACCTGAAGAACATCAAATTCCTTCTCTGTCTGGAAGAATTCTACAAACATGCTGATGTTATATCCCTTTTCTACTGAAATGCTCCAGGCACACATTTGCAGATTTGGGTAACTGTCAGGATATCCAGGACTCAATATGACTCCCGTGGAATCCAGCCGTAATTCATTGGCAGGACAGAGAACTGTCAAAGAAAGAAATCATTAAATAATGCTAGTGTTTCAGGCCTAAGTGAACAGTGCATTTTAAAACCTGGAAACTCTGCTTTCATGCGCAATTCTCTTTCAGAGAAGACAATACCTTGAATTATGTGTTAGAAGGGACTTGCATTAAGCTTGCAGTTAAAAAAAAATGGAGGAATAACCTACAAATTGATGGTATTGATTTCCTTTTTCTTTATTACATAGAAGATGCATTACTTTTCTGGACAATAAATAGATAAATAATTAAAAGATGAGGCATTTATTTTCTTCTATTTCTTTATATTCTTTCTTACCTTTTCTCATCTTCTTATGTCCTAACCCCTCTGCCTCTCTTGTCTATGTTGCTGCCCTTTTCTCTGCTTTCCTTTCTTACTTACCCACTCACTTCTCTCCTAAACTTTAACTCACTCAGGTGTGTGGGACGAGACAGGAAACTGCTGTCTCTCGGAGTATTCATTCCAGGAAAACCATTTCTGATCTCAGGAATGTGCTTAATCTAAGAGAATTTAACACAATTTGGGGGTTACCAGTTCCCTTTCAGTTCTTTGTGCTATTTCCAAACCATAAATGTAATCCAAAGCACAAGGTCTTCTTATTTTATAATAATACCTATGGTATACATTCCACAAATATATACAGAGAGTGCCCAAAAAGAAATGCATACACATTTTAAGAAAGGAAAAAACTGTATTAAAATTACAGTGGTGGTAACCACTTTGAGTGCCTCTTGTAATTGGAGCAGTCAAACATGACTTGGATTCATCTTTCGTTATCGGTATATATTGAGTATTATAATTTTAATACAGTTTTTTCCTTTCTTAAAATGTGTATACACTTTTTTGGCACCCTATGTATGTATGTATGTATGTGAGTGTATATGTATATGTGTATATATTTTTGTGTACACAAAAACATAGATAATTTGCTACATGTTGACAAAAAAAACATAATTATGATGTAAGTTTCCAAAATATAGTAAACTTTAATTGTTAATATCAATACCATTATACACTGGACCAAATAATACAAGCATCTGCTTAAATATGCATTGTGAAGAGAGTGTGACCAAGATGATAAAATCCTATCACTTAAGAGATGCCACATCAGTCTTTTTTTGTTTTTTCATAAGAATTTGAGGTTCTACGATGTGGGAAGAGGATTGGAATTGCTCAGTGGAGCTCACATGGTGCAGCATTAAACTAATACATATCTAACAGGATTTAGTTCAATATAATAAAAACTTCCTTACTTGTCAGAATAGTAGAAGTGGCTAAGGCAAAATGACCCATGTATCTCCTTGCTAAAGAGTTTTTAAACTTAGGATGGACCAATTTTTAGTTGTATTATACAAGGCATTCAAGCAACTGGTGTGGACTAGACAAATTTTTGAGGGTTTGGTGATTTGGACATACATCCCATGCTATTTTCTAATCCAATTACTATACAATTTCCATCTTGGTGTTACACAGCACTGCATCTCAAAATAATTAGAGCACAACCCTAAACAGAATCCTTGTTTTTCAATCTTTGTTCAAATGAGATAGACTTGGAAATACCAACTACAGTTGCTGGATTATAGATGAATAGATGAAGGATTTATATATTGACCATTTCTTGGGTGCAAGGACAATGAAATATTTTGAGTTATAAAATCTCCAAGTAGTGTAGGGATGAAAAAGAGTAAGTAAAACAGCAATTTATAGCAAAATATGACTGCTTTTTAACCAAGCGAATAACTTAAAAAGAAATAACTTGAAAATATCTGCCATAACTAATACAGATATTTGAAAAAAAATGACTATAGAATATAGCATAGCTAACTCTCAGAACTGTTTCTGGCTTTTTGGCTTTTACTTCTGTTTCTTTTACATCAGTCTGAGAAGTTTGCTTCTTAAATATGATCTTAAGATTTAAAAAAAATTGGCATATGATATTGGTTCATTTTCAGTCTAAAAAAAAGAAACCTGAACTTTGTTTTTCACTAAATAAAAAAATATGTAAAATAAATAAACTTAAAGGTTAGAAGTGAAATGGAAAATCTATGTCAAAGATGAAGAATATTATTGAATATGCAGCCATGGCATATTGAAATGAAAGATGTATATAGGTTGAAGTAAGTTTTAAGGAATGGCTTAGTGTGTGCCCAGATATTTAACACTTCTGGAATATTTAGCTAAGGAAGTCACTGTTTGGATTAGTTGGCATGTTGCTCCCTCACTAAACACCATTCAGCGGCTTCGCTGTTTGACACAAAGCCCTCCCATTTCAGTCCTTGCTCACCTCTCCAGCTTTGGTTCTGGCCCCTCCTCCTCTGAAATGGAATGCTTATTGAATGGACTCCTATAGCTTTTTGAACTCAGTACATTTTTTGGTGCTTCTGTTTCAAATGTCCTTTTCTTGTCTGCTGCATTTGAAATGTTAGGGCATTGTAAGGCCCAGATCAAGGGTCTCATCCTCTGTGAATCACTCCCTGAACCTCTCCTCCATCAAGCAGAACTGTTGATTTCTTCACCAGTGCCTCTGTAATGTATGCTTCTGTGATTTCAGGTAGCAATTTTATGGGTATTATTTCCTTCCTTTTTTGGCTCCCTTTCTAGTCTGTGGTTATTGAAAAGAAAGTGCTGTACCTTATTTAATGTTTTGACCCCAATGTTCTGAACTGAATAAATGTTCCATATTACTTTGGAAAAACTGGTATGACCCAACATAATCTATTGCAAACACACAAATTAATCTCTTCTCATGCTATTCAACAGGTAGCAAGAAGCCTGACAACCATCAATAATAAGAGTAAGTACTTATTGATTGTGACTCTGTTAGACACTGTGAAGCACCTTTTGTGCAGTATCGCACTTACTTGTCACAACTTTAAGAAGTATGTACAATTTTTATCCCCGTTATACGTATGAGGAAACTGATGCTCAGAAAGCTTATAGTGAACAGTCTAACAGAGTCAGCTAGATGGACCCCACTTTTTAATCACCAAATATAACCACTCACTATGTTTCATTTATATCAAACTCTTTGAAATGCATCACATTTAGAATTGCTTTCCATATTTTAAGTGTGAGATAGAGAACTACAGAGGATCCAGGGAAGAATAACAAAAATGATGCAGCCCCATTTAGGAAGGGTAAAAAAAAATCAAATAATTTAAATACACTAAAAACAATGTAGATTAGTTCTAAAAGGTTCCAAATGAAGGACTGCTAGCAAGCTTGTAGATTAACTCAACAAAAATGTAAAGTCAGGTTTTTAGCTTTGTGCCTGACCAATTAATTAATATAGTAGCTCTGCATGGACACTTTCTGAGGGGTAATTTATTCACTTTTAGCTAGTTAGCTGATATTATTATGAGAGAAAAATTTATTGTCTTTTTTATATTCTCCACAGCAGATAGAATATGAAGAGATGCCATTACTAATCTATAGAAAATTCTGATTTTGAAAATAAGATATTGCAAGTATAAGAGAAGAGAGATTGTGAAATAACTGAGTTATCTAAATTGTTTTATTTTAATTTTAAAAAATATATTGAATTGGGATCCATATAAAAAAAAAGAAGTGTTGTCCTCCAAGAGCTCAAAATGTAGTTTATATATTGGGGTCTAGAAAGTCCTGGTATGTAATTATTCATTTACACCTTCCTGTGTCAACGCAAGCTACTTTCCCATGTATACACTTCCAAAAGGCTGTGACTCTATCTTCTCCATTCACATGTCTAAATATCTGAATGTGAATCCTAAATAATTTATTATAAATACAATAAAAAGTAGTCATGTATAAAGAAAAACATTGGATAAATGACATTTAAATATCAGGAATATACATGATAGGCTTCAGAATACCCAACCAACTTTAAGATGTTCTAAAATCGTTGACAAAGTAGAAGGAAAATTTTCACATGGGCACTGGTTTATACCTCCAAACATGTTTTTCTTTTGGTTACTGTAAAAGCCCTTTGTGAAAATCCTTCCATCTTTTTATAAGGACTCCAATGACATAGAAAATCAAATATTCATTCCCACTTATAGCATGTTTGGAATAATAAGCAGAATTTTGGTTTTAGGCTTATAACAGTTAACATATCACACAGGAAACAGCTTTCCATTCCTTAGGATAAATCTCAATGCAAAAAGTAATCCAAGAAAAACTAGAAAGGGAAAATCACATGTAACTCAAATTCTATTTAAATTAACCAGTGTTTATAATTAGTTATTATGTGTTAGGTACTGTTCTGGGCCCTAGAATCTACTCAAATTAATAATACATGATTCTTGAAGATCCAAACTCTAGCATATATTCAAGGTCCATGATGGTCTTGTCCTTGTAGCATGGTGAATTCCTTCAAATCCATACCCTACTGTCTTTCACTTCTGTGTCTTTGCATATACATCTGTCACGTGAACCACCTTTTCCCTACCTCTATTTCAACAGAGTAAGTCTCACTTGTAATTTGGATCTCATGACTCAGAGAGCAATGCCTCCATCAAGCTTTCCCTGCCCCATTAAACACTATATAAATCTATGGTCCTCTGTCATAGGTCCTTATGCTGTGGCCTTCATAATAGAGACCAAGTTGTTTTCTATTTATTTGTTTTCCCCTCAGATCCTCACACTGAACAGGTGCTCAAAAAAGTTTAATGCAACTAGTAGTCAGAACAGGCAATTCACATTGGAGCCTTTATTTAAAATGACTTCTCTTATTTTCTGCCTCCATTTCTACCCCTCACAGCAAAAATAATTTAAGTAAGTTGAACTTCCTTTGGGATGAACTAGAAAAATTAAACTTTGGAATTATCAGAATGTTCAAAGTTAAATCTGAGAAATAATGGAATGAAAAAACGCCACAAATGAGTTGTGTAACTTTTAACATTACTGCCTGTTAAGTATTGATTATTGCTATAAAGTAGATGTTTCTCAATGTCACCAGTGTTGAATTAAACATAAAACAAGCATTTGTAAATAAATAATCATAATAACTGGTACCTTGACAAACTGGAGGTGCCCCATCCATCTGGAGCCGTTCTCCTAATCTGCATGTCAGGATTGCATTACCGACCAAAGTAAATCCTGGAAGACACTGGTACCTAATAATGTCACCTATTAAAAAAAAAAAAAAAGAACAGACAGAGGTGGTTTTAGAGAAGCAACGGTGTGAAAATTTTCAGATGTTTCTATTGTAAAATCAGAACATTTATTCTTTCAGTCATTTTTAATCAGTATAAATCCTATTAGTAGTAAGCAGGGAAGCTATTCCAAATGTTGAACTATCAGGTCACAGGCACTGACCAATCAGAACTGAAGCCAAGAGTGAACTACCAGCAAGGCAGTACTGGTGCACACCAGCTGGATATAAGCGACAGTAGTAAGGGAATAATCTGGTTGGTACAGGTAAGATATTCATTAAAAATGCATCAAGCAGTAAAAACTATTATTCGTTATTGCTTTTATATTAAGATTAGATTTACATTGGATATTGATATCTTCCTACATTTCTCAACCAAAATCAATATAAATTTATTAAGACATTATACAGTTATACAGTTCAAATTCTCACACTGTTTTCTAACTGTATACCCTGGAAATACAGAATTCTCCCTTCTTGTGTAAGACTCCCTTTCCATTTTTCACTGCTGTGCATTCTTAAGAATTCTAAATAATCCCCATCTATCCAGGGAAAGGGGGTGGAAGCCAAGCTGTTACTATACTTTATTTTTGTTTCTATTTAAGCAAATATCTCTGTTAACAGTGCATTTTCTTTGAACGTAATTTAACAGACTTTACCTATTTCAAATTCATCATCTTCTGTCAAAATTTCAGCATTGGGTACAGGTGGTGGAGGTTGGCACACTCTTAGCTGATAGGCTAAAAAAATAGAGAATGTGTTTATTCCTTCTTGAGCAGCTATATGTATATATATATATATATATATATATATATATATATATATATATATATATACTCACATTTGTGGGGAAAAAACTATGCAAGGTTTACATATAAGAATAAAAATAAATGGTAGAATTTACCAAATTTCAATGATTTATTCATTTAAAGAAATGCTGTAACCATGAGGGGACATAAATCATTCCTTAGATGCCAAAATATTTTCCCATGGTAAGAACGCTTACCTTTTAACTTCTTAATTTTTACCCTCATTCTATTCCTTCTTGTCATGTGCTTCATAAAACCTGCTAATCCTTCTTGGAGTGATCACAATTTGGAATCACATATTCTTGTCTACTTATGTGCCCAATGCTTATCTTCCCCAAGGTTCATCTCAAAATCCCCTGCACCAAGTAAAGTGCCTGGCATACAGACATCATTTCAAACAAGTGCTCAATGCTTACTCTCTTCCAGGAAATATTATAAATGCTTTACTTATATGAACTATATTAATCCTTCCAAAAATGTTATTTATTCATTACTCAATTTGTGTACCTATTTCCATAATTATCTCCATTTTATAAAAGAGAAAACTATTAAAAAGAGTTTTAAAAATTGTCCAAATCACAGCAGTAATGTGGTAAAGCTAGAATTTGAACCCAGGCAGTCTGGCTCCAGTTCCTTCTCTGACCATGCTACATTATTATGTTTACAAAATATCTATTTGTTAAGTTTCATGTTTCCAAGTTTCTATTGTATATGACTTGAACAGGTCCTTCCATTGGATTAGAGAAATTCTTTTTTGACATAATTTAAAGACCACAAAAAAAAATCTCTATGACTCTACCTATCGTGACTACTATTCCTATATATTTATATCACAATCACTTGCTTTATTAAAATCTGTTTTCACTAGGAGTCTTGTTCATTCAAGAAACACATTTTAACGTAATTATGACATCTGAGTAAGTGTCTGTTTTATATGCTTAATTTTATTACTTAAACTCAGGAGTGAAGTTACTTATATACATCAATGTGCAGATACAAAGAATAAAGCTTAAAAGATACAGGGACTTGTTTGAGATCACACAGCTAGTGCAAGGTTACCCACGACTCCATCCTATGTCCTCTAGCTTCACAGCCCAAACCATCCACATTGCCCCTATTGTGAGAGTGTTACGAGAGGCCTGAGGTGCATCTATCAGACCAGTTAAAGAAGACTCCTATTGTACATAAGGCTATGAATGAGACAAATGTTTTAAAATGCGTAAGGTGTTGCCAGTTCTGAAGGATAATCATAGCATTTCAGATGGAGGAGGAAACATGAGCAGAAATTTGAGTACTGATTCATCATTGTGTAACAAAACCTATTTATAAGAGGTTAATAATCTAATCAACTTCTAGGTTAATAAGGACGAAGAGAAAAAAAAGTTCAAAACGTAGCTGGAGAGGGGTGAATCAAAGAAAATCTGTTTCAATATCCTGCTGTAAATTGTTGTCTGTCTCTTCAAACATCTTCCTTCTGGTACTTTAACCTGTTTATAAAAGCACTCGCTGTGCAGGGATGTTAATTTGCAAGTAAAACATTGCTCTACACAGAAGAGTTACCACTAGAGAGGAGAAGACTTGCTGGGAAACAGGCCCAGGGCAGAGAAGCATGACCTGCGTTTTTAAGAAAAAGTTTAGTTGAGAGTAACATTGGGAATTTTGACAATCATTTTCCTTAAGTTAGACCTTAAAAGATACAATTAGCAAGGTAAAGGGTAATTGTAAGAAGTGCCAAAGCATTAAGACAAAGAGGAGGGGCAAACAGAGAGTCTTCCTGAGAAATTTTTATGAGATTATGCTTTCAACAAGAGCATTTTATTTGACCTTAATGTAGAACATAGGTCAACTCAGAGGTTAAAGAGTGTGGAGATGCCCTCATATGTATTATTTTACTTTTGTTTGCCCTTAACGTTATTTTTAATCTTCATGATAATCACATTATTTTGTTATTTGAAAGCAAGCACATTTTTATCAACGAAGAATCCATGACTATTGCATCTGTAGAACATGCTTAGAATGACCTAGATAACTCAGTTGCAGAGTTAAAAGGAGGAGTTTATAAATTGTTAATGAGGAGTATCACACTCAGAGATATTATGTTATTTTCCCAAAACCACATGGGTGCTCTAAGCTAAATTCTTTCTTATGCTCATATTCTCTGATCTTTACAATCACCAGCAGTTTCATAAACTGTTTCTAAAGCCAAGGGGTCACCTTGGGGCCATGGAGGGTCTAAGGAGACACACGGTTTTCTTACCTCCTTCCTCTACCTCAGTAAGAAAAATTCTATTTACATCAATCTTATAGTTTTGAATGCTAAATAAACTTTCCTTTGAACCAATTTTCTACAATCTCCATGTAAGTAATTTTATTGATTCTTTTGACTTCAAGCCTGACTCTGTCTCAATTTCCAATTTTATATTGCCTGGATACACATCTCTTTTGAGCTCTGGGCTGTCTGTTTCTCCTGACCCTTTACTGTTATTTTCCAATCACAGAACTCTGTTTGGTGGCACATAATCATGACTTGTTTCAAAATGTACTATTGCCTATTTATTAGCTTACTTGTTCATTGTTTGTATCGCTAACTGGACTTTAAGTAACACGAGGGAGGATAATGCTTATCTCTCTTTTTTACAGCTGCTTCTATTATGCTTATAAATTCAACAAATATTTGTCAAATAAAATGCAAAACACTGGTTTTCTTGGGAGGGAAATAGTCTCTAAACAGAGTCATAGTGAAAATGACTCTCAATTCTGAAACTGCAAATGGGGATGAAATAGAGGCAATTATGGGTCAGAGTGCTAGAAAATGGGGTCTAAAGAGAATCTGCCTGCGGTGTTTTTCAGGGTTTAACTATGTAATTCTCATTACAATGTAAAGGACAGGGGATAATGAAAGGAACCCTTTTGTATCTGTTTCTCGTTAAACTCTTGAAGGCAAAGTTTTATAAATGGTTAAACCATAAACAGCTTTCAAAAATTCAATCTTCATCAATTTCTACTAGTTTGTTAAAATAGGTCTAAAATTTGTCCGATGCCTTTGGATTCTTGCTGCCAACTTCTCAGGGTGGACCTCTCTCATTTCATAACTGTTGTATAGGGTTGAATAATATCCCCCAAAATGTATGTCTTTCCCAAAATCACAATGTTATTTGGAAATAGGGTTGTTGCAGATGTTATAAGTTAAGTTGAAGCCATATTGAATTAAGATGAGCCCTTAAACCAGTATGACTGCCTTATAAAAAGAGAAGAGAGAGAGATGGACACACAGGGAAGACATGTGATGATGGGGACAGAGATTGGAGTGATTTAACTACAAACGAGAGGCTAGGACAAAGTAAATTGCTAAAGCTCTGTGCTTCAGTTTTCTCATCTGCAAAATAAACCTAAAACTGAGGTTGAGTTAATATATTGCAAAGTGCTTAGAATCATGCCTGACACATATGGTCATTTCAAAGGGCAAGAACATTCCCTGTTTGTCAAAGGATGACGTGAGCATGGCCACTGTGATGGCAGTTGTGCCCTGAACACATAGAATCTCAGTCACATGGCTTTACTCACAACCCCAATGTCATTCCAAGGGCTCATACCCATGTAACTTCCCAGAACACATCAAACAAGTCACTTTGATTTTTATCTTGATTTAAATTGGCTATATTTTGAAAATGTGGAGATTCTTTATTTGTTTCACTTTGCTGTACCTTATGTTGTACTATTAAGTCCCTGAGTTCAGCAAGTCATTGCAGAATCCTGTATAATATAGGTTGTATGTGTCGTGGTCTCAAGGCTGATAGGACAGTGTCCTGAAAATCATATTAAAAAAATACTAACTAATAACGAATTGAGTTAAAAAATACCTCATCCTTTATACTGTATGGAGGAAAATACATATGGAAGAAAATAAGCAGGTCTAGGATGAATATACACCAAATTGTATAGGTTAGACTTGCATAGGTTGTTTGAGCTGGAATTCACCTTATAAATCACCTATGCGAATCTGTTTATTTGAGGGCAACGGAGGGAAGAGGAGACCCAGCGAAGTGATGTGAGGTAGACAAGGCCACACACTGTCCCTGGCAGAACTGAAACTTTCAAATGGTGTCATCTAAATTTTAAATAGTATTAGCATGTATTTTAGTCCACGCTTTTCATGGAATGTTTTATTTAGAAACAGCTTCACAATTATGACCATTCATGAAAAAGCTGCATAACACAGAGATTCACACAGTTAAAATACACGTTTGATTGAAATCCGTGTTCCCTTTAGAAGAATCATTTCATTTGACATTCCATTCAGCTTGAAAACACCACCTACTATTTAATAACTCCATGAGGGCATCATATGCTACGTGTCCGTCTTTTCTGAGGATGACTGTTGTTTCAATAGTGCCCTGTTTTTGTTTAAACATGTATAGAGGTCTGGTTCCTGGTTCAATACATTTGCTCTCTGAAATTGCTTTAGGGTTTGACTCTGGCAATATTTTTTGGTTATTTTTAATTTCCTGTTTTCTTTATAATGAAACATCCAACCTAATTCCAGAAAAGAATGCTGTATTTATCTACTTCAGTTCAACTGAGCTATTAAAGGCTTCTTAAAAACAAACAAACAAAAACCAGAACCCTGTCAAACGGCCATTCTGTATGTCTTCCTTAAACCAAAACAGCGGAAGTGTACAATCTTTCTGCCAAGTAAGGACATAGTATTTCTTACAGAGGGAAAAAACCAAAACAACATAATGTTCTCTGTTCCCTGATAGATGCTAACATCTCCCTATAACCACTGGTGTACTGCAGTGGTGACCCAGATTAGTTCAAGTGTGAAAATTTCGTGATTTGGGGAAAATCTGGAGAAGAAAGAGCATTGATCATTACATGTTCAGTAATGTAATTTTGGCAATGTTATTTCAAAAGCTATGTAAAATAAGGTT